TAGAGTGATTTTAGTCCTTACAAAATGATAAACTGAGTTTATCATCTCTCCCACTAAAAAACATATCAATTATAATCTCTATGTTAATTATATGCTAACTTTAACGTAATGCCCTATCAAGATCAAAATTCATAAGGAAAAATCTAAATTCCATCCCCGTTCATCACAATTCAATCCAATCAACAATTTTATTATTGGCATTGTTATCATTCATACTAAAAGTATATTTATTACATAGATATAGTTATATTAATTATGGACGATAAAGTAACTTTATGAAAATAAATTTTTTTTTTTGATAACAACTTTATGAAAATAATTAACATATTATAAACTCTCATTTGGGCATAATATATAATACACAATTGTTTCACATTATTTAAAATTTTATCTCCATGCATGTTTCAAGGATTACTACATACAATAACCCCCTTTTGGACAAGTAATTGCAAACGATAACTTTTTTTTTTGGTAAACACAAACGATAACTTTTATCAATAAAGAATTGTGACAATTCACAAATAACATTTTAAATAATCATATCCAAATAATGTGAAAAACCTTATAACATGTGTTTCCAAAACTCATTGTATTTACTAAACTACAATTTATGCTAAAAATTTCAATCTACAATATCAACAATTATATACCTTAGCTCACTAATCAAACTTAATTAATAGAATACATAAAATCTATGCTAAATTAGGGGGAGTAAATACTAACATTATAATCACCATAATCTATAATAATTTTTCATTAATTAAAATTTGAAAAAGAAAGGATTATAAATATTTTTCACAAAATTAAATATAAATGAGAGCAAATAATTCCAAATAAAAATTTAATATAAAAAATTAAAATAAATATTTCAAAATGAATCAAACATGTTTTCAAATTTATTTAAATGAACTAACATAGAAATTCATTATTAAGGCAAAACATGAATGCATCAGAATAAACTAAAGGACAATATACAACTTCAATTAAATCAAGTTGTTATAATGCGGCCAACATAATAGTACATTTTTCTTTAGGCAGAATGCACTAACCAAGATTTTCAACCAAGACCAAAACCTCGGATGAGTTAATCAATGAGCATAACAAGTTGTCGTAACAAAGCTAACATAATAGTATATTCCTCTTTGGGTAGAACACACAAACCAAGATCATAATCTTAGATGAGTTAATCAATGAGCACAATATTGGGTTCGAAAATCCATCCATTTTGGGCAGATAGATCCTTAGACCAATGAGTATCCAATAATTTTATCTACAACCTCAAAGAAAAGTTGCTGAGTGAGCATGCATATGCTTTGGAGACGTGTCCCCTTTGGGCAGACAAATCACCTAGACCAATGCACCGCCAATAACTTCTTCTCAAACAAGTTCACAAGTTCCTAGTTATAACACATAATCACCCTCTTTGGCCAGAAAATTGCATGAAATGAAATAACCATAAGCATTCCTCAAATATACAAGGAAAATTTCACAAACCAATAAGCAATCCCATAGTAATTCATGAAAAGATGAAAACTCTTACACCAGAATTAATTTTCTCTTGCCCAAAATCATGATCCAATTCACAAGAAGATGCAACACCTCTAATGATTGTGAATTCAAATATAATAACATTCCCAAACAGATTTTGCACTTAAGCAATATAAGTGGAAGCATACACCTCAATGTATAAAAATATTAACACACATTACAAGCTGAGGGTGTGAATTTATTTTAACAATATTTGGGAGAGCGTAAAATTATTATTAAATGTCAAATATAATAAATCAATTTTAATATATATATATATATATATATATATATATATATATATAAAAGATAGGATCCTTTGACACCGGTGTCAAATTTGAAATTTGACATCTTATCTGAGGCCATTAGATAAAAAAAGATCAATGATGTCACATGCTTACAAATCAGAGTCGTTGATCTTTTTTGATCTAATAGCTCTCAGATGAGGAGTCAAATTTCAAATTTGACACTAGTGTCAAAGGATCTCACCTCTCTCTCTCTCTATATATATATATATACCAAGATATACTACCAACAAGAAAATAAAATAAAATAAACTAAACAAATGTATTACTTATTTTATTATGATGTATATTTACTATCAATTAAATAAAGTCATCATGTTTATTATACGGAAAGGCTTTTCTTAAAAATTATAATTTCGTTGCCATCATATATAACATTGACCAGCACACTCTTTGCTAAATCGATATTAAGGGAATAAAATACAATAATATTTTTTTCTTTCATAAGCCACCTACAAGTTGGTGATAATTATAGTTGTTAAAATCTCGATTTATCACTACGATTTTACTTTTTTACGATTTTTTTCATCAAAACGATTTTATCAATATTTCAAACGCTTTTACGTTTTTACGATTTTTTTACATTACGATTCTATGTTTTACGATTTTTAATCCCTCTCCGATTTTACTTAAAATCTCGATTTTAACAACATTGGTGATAATCGCACAATAATTGTGTCATAAAAAGGATAAATTTTTTATAATAAAAAATAATGACACAACCACGTTGACAAATAGAGGTGTTCATCAACCGATTCAAACCGCAGAGACCGAACCGGAAAACCGATAACCGATAACCGAATAAACCAAAAATCAAAAAATCAAAAACCGAAAAAATACCGCAACTTTTAATTGGATTGGATCGATTTTCGGATTGCTTAATGAAAACCGATCCAATCCAAACCGATCTAATATATTAATTCTCCTCTACTTACTTTAGTCTTTCTCCCATCATAATCCAAAATTTTCTAAACTCAAGACCCATTAACCCATCAACTAAACCCAAGAAAAACCTAGTCATATCTCATCAACAAAATTTCATCTGCGTAGAGCTACATATCTCATTGCCCCCCGATTATATTATCGTTTATTGATACTTTTGTATTTCAAATTTTTTTTACAAAGCCAATATATATATAAAAGATGTTATCTGCATGAAATAAATTTTAGGATTTTCAAAAAATCGAAAATCGAACCAATCCAAACCGAAAAAAATTGGATTGGATCGGATCGGATTTGAAAAAAAGTCCAAACCGAATGGATGATTACATTGTCAAACCGAAGGGATTGGATCGGATGATTTTTTCTTCCAAAACCAATCCAATTCAGATCGTGAATACCCCTAATGACAAATTAGCAAATTTGCTACTCTATAAATGGATAATTTTCTTTCCATTTCCATTCCATGATTCTTCTACAGATTCTCATAATTTTATTTTTATTTTTATTTTGTTTTATATATATTTATTGGGTCTTCTTCCCCAAATCTAGTGGCATCATTGATGGATAACTTGAGCTCTTTTTTTTTTTTTTTTTTTTGATAACATAACTTGAGCTCTTTTCTATTGCATTGGGCAGCAATTTCAAGCACCATTTCTTCTCAAAATCAAAGCCCAATAAAAAACCAAGCCAAATCCATTCAATAATTTTTTGGATTCATTCTCTCTCTCTCTTTTTTGGTAAACTTTTGGATTCATTCATTTTCAAAGAGGATTTAAACAAAAATAAAGAACAGGTTACAATTCTTCCACCAATGACAGCATGAAAACAAGATTGGGTTTCATGATTAAAAGAATGAAATCATACTTACAAAATTCAAATAATATTTTATTATTGATTCATGAATCAAAACTAACTATCAAGATAAAAATGAATTTCAGGATTTTTAAAACCCTAGGTTTAAAACTAAAATTCATAATATTCAATAAAAATAAATAAACAAACCTTTTCACTTATATATGCATTCACAAATCACGATCTCTATTCATGGAGATCAATAAAAAAAAATTACAATTGTCAAAGACATGATCGCCATTTGATTTCCAAAACGTTACGATTATTAAATTTTTTTATATGATAACGATATAACAAATACATTATCACCTATTATATATTTGATTCAAATGTCACAACAATCAAGAGCTAAAATACAAAATAAATTTAAGGAATTAATGTTTCTAAAGTGAATATAGATAAGTTATCTACACTCTCTCTCAAAATGACGTCGATTTAAGTTAAAAAATTAAAAAAATTATAATGAAAAATACTATTATAACCCTGAAATAAATTATAATTACAAAAATGCCTTGATTTTCATATCAAAACGACGTCGTTTTGGACTCAATGTAGATAATTTATCTACATTGACTGTAAAAAAACGAACCCTAAATTTAATTACAAAACTATCATTTCGATAACAAATAATTGGGTCCTAAATCATATAATCTAGGCTTTGATACCAAATGTTAGAAATTGCAAAATAGGATTATATGAAATTAGAACACCAAAAGAGTTTAGGGTTACTTGTTGACGACATAATTCTTGATATCTTAATTACAGTGCTTGCTCTGGTATTCCTGCAAAGGTTAAGGACGAGGATCTTCCTCATCAATCCATACTACTCCTTGTTTACAACTTTCGATAAGACAAGTTGTGGAATGATGGTTTTTTAACATATTGTGAATACAAAGAGTATCTAGCCAAACTTATTAACCTTATTTTCCTTCCTATCATAGGCCTATGAGTTAGACATATACTGTTATCCACACTAATCAATTTACAAATATCTAAGCCCAAACAAAAGAATCACTTAATTAAATAAATTTTATACTACACTTCTATATGTATTAGGACTTGGCTCATTTTTATAAAAACAAAAAAAAACTACAACTGATTGAAACCCACAATTATAAAACATTCTAACACTAAATTGATCAGAGATAAAAATTCAATATGGTATTTAAGTGATGAAACTTTCTACTTGTGTCTTAAGAATATATAGGTAAAAATATTTGTTCAAATGAAGTTGTGAAATTCAAGATACGAAGAGTAAATTAAAAATTAGAATAAATTTGATTTCACTAGAACTGAATTTACTATAATTGATTTACAACAATTTTGAAACACATGATAAAAAAATGAGATTTAAATTAATTTTATATTCACAATATTATTCTTACGCAGGATATGCTAAAGGACTTAATAAGGACAAAATAGATACTTCCTTCAATAGATACATCCAGCAGCATTTCAGCTGAACTTCCACATCATTGTATGAGAAATTAACACATGCAATTAGAACCTTAATCTTCTTGAACACTCTTCTCTGGTGAACCATGGTGCCTGAGAGAATCAAGGCTGAGGAGAAATTTCACCCCAATAAGAAACCCATTAATAAAAGGAAAAGAAATAAAAAGCAGAACAAGAATGGTAAGCCAAAAACAAGATTAAAATACACAAATGAAAAAAGCTTGAGTATATGGCCAACCTGCATTTCTGAGGAACCCTCCAGGAAATAATCGACAATCTCTTCAAACTTGGAGGTAAGGTCAAATAATGTTTCCAATCCTGAAGCATAATTCTAAGATCGTGAAGCTTACTATCCATACCATAGCAACAATTTGCATGCATCGTACAAACTTGATTTAAATCTCTACTCGGTTCACAAAGCCCACCAAAATTAGCCGTATCCAAGAATCTCATCTTCAGTCCCATATCAGTGACGTAAGGGTCAAACTTGATGATATTGAGGACATCCTGATCGTGGTATCCAGGATAGGTTTCTTTTGAAGAGTACCAGAATTTATAAAACTCTATTGACCTATTATTAGACTTTACAAAGTTGAACCCTCCATTGGGTCTGTTCTGTACATCATCAAAGCTACCTGTGAAATGATCACATGCTATCTGGAAATCTGCATCATGGTGAAACCGGGGAAATGGGTTCCTAAACCACATGATATCAGCATCCTGGAAGGGGAACACAATATTAAGTATATAATTTAGACACCTTAGAAATGTATATATAGCTTCTTTTATAGATTTTACTCGAAGTATTCTTTTTCTTTTTAAAATTTTCTCTTTTCTGAAAAGGAAAATAAATGTACCAAGATACAATGGTAAAAGCAAAAATAAAATGCATAGCTATAAATTTGATTGTAATGGAACTATTTACTGATACAATTTATCCTACCAGTTCGGATTACAATTAGGTAAATTTAAATGACATTTGTGAACTTCACAACTTTTGAAAACGTTTCCCAGGGTTTACACAACCTAGTGTTTGGTAGAGGAGAAATTTTTTTTTACCTGAGAATCACAATTCCCGGGAATATGATGTAAAAGTGAGTTTCCCGGTATGCCAAAATATTACCAGAATTTTTATCAGAATTTTCGCATCTAATTTTCCATTTTCCCGGGAAAGTGTCTGGGTGGTATTCTGGGTGATATTTTGGTTTATATTTTACACACAAAACAAAATTCCCGGAAAATCACATTCACGGGAAAATTTTCAAAAATCTTCTACCAAATATGGACAAATTGAATTACCACCCTCACTTTTCCAAGAATCTGAAAATAAGCCCTCTACCAAACACCAAAAGGATTACACAAGTCAGTCCAAGTGAACATGAAGAGGTTAGTGAGCAAAATACTTACAGTAAACACAAAATTGTACCCCATCTCTAGAACAGAACGAAGGAAATCAATTCTTCTCCACATCATCTTCAAGTAGCGAGGAGTCATAAAGTATGCCTCCTCATGAAAATCAGTGCCTTCACCAACAAGCAAAAAGCAATAGGAATGTATAGCCTGACAGCGTATAAATGCCTTCTGGTCCAATGCAATAATTACTAAATGATTCAAAAGCCTACGAGTATGATCTCCAATTCTAAAGCTCTCAAGGAAAAGATCAATGACTGAATTTGGTGCTGCCCATGCTTCATTTAATGTGGTCAAGATAACAGTTCTGCCTTCCATGGCAGCCTCATTCAGAATTTTTTCAAGTGGATATTCATTGCTAGCCTGCATAAGAGTCAATTCCAAAAGAATAAAAAATGTAACTTCCTCTTACATTGATAAATTACACAAAAAAGCCACAATAAAAATAAGAAATATTTAGTGTTTAAAAACAAACATGGTTGAATTCATTATATTCATAAGACCAAAGCCTCTGTTGTTTCCATATCAGCATCACATATGAATGGAAAAGAGAGACTTAAATATGGAAACTCTGTTGCTGATAGCAGGGGACAATCTGTCCACTTTCTGTCATACTGACCAACAATTCAATATTAACAGACGCTACAAGAACTCAACATTGAAAAATCACCAGCTAAAATTAATGTATCTACCAATAATTAAACAAGTAGTTAAAAAAAAAAAAAAAACTAGTCTTCCTCAGTTTTTCCAACAAGGAAATTAATATCTTTCCAAAGCAGCAATCTGCCTTTATTTTTAAATACAAAGGCTGTAGGTATGTAATGTGAGCACTCCAAATAGGTCTTTGACAAATTTTAACAAAAATCAGTATATCCATTTATCTAACCATGCGCATTTGATGATACTTCAAATTTTGTCCTTAAATAACCCATCCTCCACCTTCAACCACTTCGCAACCAACCATTCAACATGTATAAATATATATACACGGGAAGGATCTGTTTACAAACCTTTTTTACAAATTTTTGCAAATTACACTATGTACTCCCAGAAGTACATAGTTTAATCTAGTGTACTTTCGGGAGTTACATAGTATAGTTTGTAAGAGTTTTATAAAAAGTTTGTAAATATAACTCTCTCCACATATATATATATGGGTTTGATGAGTGTCAAGTCACTGGATATAAGCATTTGTCCGGTCATTAAATCATAACCGTATAAAAATGAATCAATGGTGACAAAGGAAGAGAGAGAAAAATAGAATCATAACCATTCAAAAGTGAATCAATAAATATAAGGAAATAAATAAATAAAACGACGTAGTTTAATACTGACTTGACCATCCAGTGACATAATAAACAATAAACCCTATATATATATATATATATATATACACACACACACCCTCTCCTTCAATTCTCATCGGTCATCAAGTTATCTCAAGTGAATGCCCAAACAAAGAGAGGGGGCAGGGACTAAGCATTTTGCAGACATTGAATTTTATTGACTACATGTATCCATAGTGAAACTTTACACATCATATTAAAAGTACAACAATATAAGTATTGTTCCCATTGACCAATGTCTATTTATCCAATTCCACTCAAATAACTACTCACACGCAACGCCATTAAACATTCAAATAAATCAAACAGCCAAACTCAACAACACAAAATTTCAGCTCAAAACAATCATACTTGGAAACTTTCCACAGTCACCACAGGAAGAATCTTACCCACAAGCACAAGTACACTTTCTAAATCACGATTTCCACGAGATTCCGATGCTCTAAAAAATGAAACTCACTTGCATACGTAACAAGAAACGAAAGAGCGTGATGAAACGGAACTCACCTCCGAGGAATCGTTGGACGCCGACGGGAAAACGGTCGGAAAACGAGACAAGGGAAGAGAGGAAGGGAAGAAAGAGTAATCGGCGTCTCTGAAGAGGAGTAAGCAGGTGAGATAAACGGCGGCGAAGATGAGCGCGGCGGCGATGGTCCGACGGAGAAGGAGGGAGGTGGATTCCGACAACATGGAGGAGATGGAGTTACCTATTGTGTGGCGGTGCGACGTCGCCGGGAATCGTCGCCGGTGAGATGGGAGCATGCGTGGGCGTGAGAGGGGCATTTGGTTTCGTCGGTGAGGTCATGTTCGGTGGTGCGGCGTCGTTTGGGCAAAACGACAGAGGGGATAGCGAATTTAGAATCTCAAGTGGGTATTGGGGTTTTGTGTGGAAGCCAAAGAAAGTAAGTCAATGTTTTACATTTACACTAGTAAAAATATGTTGGTTGATGTTTTTTTTGTTATATGGCTCTTGTATAGGTTTTTTTTTTTACCTTTTTATCTTTAATTAATTAATTAATAATTATTTTATCCTTTATTCAAAAAAATTTATTCTTCTCTTTAATCGATTAATTTGAAGATTTAATCGATTAAATGGTCAAAACTGACAAAAATAATTGACTTGAAGATTTAATTGATTAAATCTTCAATTTAATCGATTAAATCTCTCATATTTTACTTTTCCTTTGGATCAATATAACCGATCTAACGGTGAGATTAATTGGTAGTAATATGATAGTAACACAACTTGGTTGTTACAATATCCTTCCCCTGCTATTAATTAGTTTAAATATTTTAAATTTCAAATCAATTCTTGTTACAAATTTAATTTCGATTGTCCAGCTTAAGTCAAAGTAGCGAACTAGTGATTGAGTTATAATCCTCGTAGGAACGATTCTTTACTTAAATATTATATTACTTATACGAACGATGCACTTGCCGTGAGCGCAACAATGACCAGACCTATTTGTACAACCGTTGAAATCCACATAATTGATGTTTTGTGTCAATGATTCCTTCAACAATTAAAACAGTGTTTAGTAATGTTGGTTTCAATTTATTTGTATAGTTCTTGTTCGTATCTTTCCATCATTTTTTTTTATAAACCACAAGTATCTTTCATGGGAGACAATCTTGTTCAGGACGAGAGTCCAGGATTAAAATTTTAAATCTCTCCTAAATATAGTAATGAGCAAGATCAAACACATACTTTCACCCCACTTGCTCAGCTTCTATACACCAAGTGGGCTACTATTATTATCATTTGGTATCTTTCCACCATCTTTGTTTTGTTCTATGCTCACACCATACCTTTTGTGCAATCATACTATCTTCAATGCGTCTTGTATGTAAAATTTAGAACTGTGATTCATAATGTCGTGTTACCACTCTTTGTTAGGTAAAGAATATTATAAACATGCGTAGAATGTTGGAAAATTGGGGGATTATTTTTACTGTTAATATTTGAATTTTTTTTATTAGGGACTAACAATTATTCAATGCATCTTTTTTTGCTTGAATTTGTTTTGTTCATTGTAGTGTTTTATTTAATTTTCTGGTTGCATTATGTAATATATGATATTTATATAACTGGGATTTAGGGTTCCACATTTGAATTTTAGAAAAAAAGAAGAAAAACTAACCTAATGTATTAATCCGTCTCGCAACAGGTTCAACTTGTTTTGACTCGTCCTTTACGAGCTCAATCGGATTGATGGGTTAAATGGGCCATCTCGATGAGTTGAATCGTTTTATCACCTCTAACTATTCTAATATAATGCTACCAATTAAACTACCACAATTTGATGGTTCATCAATCGGTTTTGACTCGCCTTATATGAGGCAAGCTCAAACGGTCATTGATGGGTTAAACATGTCATCTTGATGGGTTGGATCGTTTTACCATTTCTAACTATTCCAATAGATAGTGCTAAATTTATAAACAATGGGAATTAAAAAAGATATGGAGTGGATTAAGCATAAGGCAGATCATTTTTACAATGAGCATAAAATCAATTGCCACATATGGCCAAAGATAGGTCTAAGTTAATTCCGTTTTGGACATTTGAAGAACTAGAGCAGCCCAAGTAATTGCTTAAGCCGGTGCGTGATGAAATTCCTTCACTGATCTCACTGGCTGAAGCAGCATTGCTTCTGATCTGAGACGAAGGATGGGGCAATGAGATTGACAATGACAACTCACAACCTCCTATATCTTCATCTTCTGCACGCACCCTCCTAGTGTTCCCAAGTTCATTAAAAGGCTCCTTACCAGTTAATTTGGCAACCTGTCCAACGATAATTAATACCCATAAGGAAGTGACATGGGTATATACGTTTTTGCAAAATGCACTTGGTATGGAAGAATCGATGTATTTAGGATTAAAAATTTGTACTTATGTCGTTTTAGCAATTTATAACTACGTACTAAGGATAATACATAATTATAATATTAAAATTGTACTTTTTTTTTTACTTGTCACGTCAGTAAACAGTGTCTGAAAAGAGAAAAAAAGTACAACTTTAATATTAGAACTATGTATTATCTTTAGTACATAATTATAAATTACTAAAATACATAAATTACATCCTTTAAAAGAACAAATCATTGAATATTAAAAAAAAAAGAACAAATCATTTCCCCTTTAATAAAATTGATCAAACATTTGGTAACTTCTTCTTTATACATATATACAAAAAGATTGGAATATTTAAAGAGGCAAAACAAGTAGTTCATTTACTTATTATGGAAGTGACATTTACTTATATTAAGTAGTTCAGTTTTATACAAAACAAATTTGTGTCGTAAAGCACTAAATTTTGGGAATAAAATGGAAAAAATTGCCAAATAAAAAAGCACCTGCAAACAAATCTTTTAAGAACGGTAAAGCAAGGAAATCCCACAACCCTTAATTTCCAAAAGATGGGGGAAAAATAATTTCAAAGATTAATTAATAGCCCTTTTCTATTTAATAAATTTGAGTTCTCATTCTAGAGATTGAGATAATGTTTTTACACTCTCTCCTTCTCTTATAACTACAAGTATTTCCTCATATTGTGTCACGTGTATCCTTAAATTTTCTTCTTACCTTCTACCTCTCTATCCAACGTGAGCCTCCATATGCATGGGGAAAATATTCTTCTCCTTAATTAGTTCTCTAATCAAAAGACACTTATCACGTACCCTTAATACTGTGTCATGTCTTACATTCATATGCTAGATGAAAACTCTTTTCTCCCTTCATTAGCTATTCAATTAAATAAGATTTTTACAATCCTTAATTAGATTGGGTCAATGCTCAAATTTCTTTTCTAATATTTGATAACAAATGTTGTCTAAATTGAAGATATTTAATATCAGCTTTGAAGTAAGTGTGTTGGAATTAGAAGCCTAAATGGGCTATCTAACATGGTAGTGACGTGACAAATTTTCCAAAAAATAAATAAAAAAATGGTAGTGAAATACAGCCCAACATCACACTCCACCCCCAGTAAAAAAAAAAAAAAAAAATAAATACTCTTTTGGGTCCCTAACAAAAAACACAGTTTCCACTTTAGTTTCTTACAAAAATAAATTACTCAGCTAGTCCCTAACAAATTCAAAGTAGACCCATTTTAGTTCTTTTGAGGGACTAATACGGGTCTTTTTTGAATTTGTGAGGGACCACGATTTCAACTAAATGAATCCACTTTGAATTTGTTAGGGACTAACTAACTAATTTTTTTTTGTAAGGAACTAAAGTGGGAACCGTGTTTTTTGTTAGGGACCAAAAATGATATTTATTCAAAAAAAAAATTATATTATATACTATAGTAAAATAAATAAATGAACCATAACCCAAAAAAAAAAATATTGTTTTGCATGGGATGGGTACCTGGAGCAAATCAGATTGTTGCTTAGGCAGCATAGGAAAGGTTGTGGAAAAATGGGGTTGGGTCTGCCATATTGTACCAGCACAAATCTCCTTTATTCCCTTCTGCTCAGCCATGCTCTGCAGATAATCATAAATGGGGCAAGGTTTTGGGACTGCTTTACATATTCTTTGGCTGCATTGTAGGATTCCTGAGAGGGAACGTGTCTTTTCGATTCTAGCTCTGAGGAGAATCCAAAACAGAGATGAATTTAAAAAAAATAAAAAATAAAAAATAAAAATAAAAGTAAAAGTCAGAAAATCAAAAAATAAAGCAAAGACCAATCACTTTTTATTCGTTTCTTATTTAATTCCAAAAAGTTTAAATGGAGTTAGACACTGGTATCTGGTTAGGGTTAGAGAAGACTTTCCAATCTGAATTTTCGGGAGAGATTATATATCACTCACCAACAAAATTCTTACATTGACCAGCGAGATTTGAACCCATACTCTTATGGAATATGAACCAAATCCTTAACGAACTGTTATTAGTCATTTGAAAGTCTAAAATTATTATTTCAATGTAAAATTGTTGGCCTATTAGTCATTTGAAAAGTCTAAAATTTTTATTTCAACGTAAAAAATAAATGAATAAATAAAGTTATGCTTACCTTTTTGGGGAGATATTGCTGTAGCTGAAGAGGGAATCAGATGCTTTTCCAATGGGTTTTAAACAAGAGTGAACACCAACATCATTCACTTCATCAACACAACCATCATCATGCTCTTGAAAAGATTGTTTTCTATTTGGGGTTGCAGTCCTATCTGACACAGATAAACCAACGCACATTGAGGAAAGTAGATTGGTGGAAACAATTAAAGAGTATATATATGGGTCCAAAACATTAACAGGGCTTTGATCGATTTTACCACAAGTTGAACTCATTTGACACAAAAGTCGTAGATTTCATCAAAATATCAATATTAGAAGATTTAAAAAGGACATTGGTTTATCATTCTTCCTCGTCTATTCTGGCATCAACTAAATACGAAAGGGACTAATAAATGGTCAATGCAGTTGCAGATATTTCAAACTTATGAATAGAGAATAGAGAATAGAGAATAGCTCATAGGCTTTTAATTTTGAACAACAAATAATCACCAATAAGGGAAACAACGGCTAAGTGAGTCTGCCTGGCTTCAATGCATAAAGCATCTACAGTATCCAATGTGCATGGGACACGGAGGGGTGGATAAATCATGACCTTCCTCGTGAATAAATTTTAACCGTTAACTAAATAAAAAAACGAGAATATGTATATTGATAGAATCCAATATTATATATGGTAAAATCATTTCTACACTCATTTTACATATAACAATGACATTCACATATAGTAATGACAGCTGTATGATTTTGATTTAACATATTTAATGCTTTCATCTTTTGTATGGTTATGATTTTTCATATTTAATGTTTTCACGTATATATTGGCAAGTATTTGACTGCTGCACGTACAACAGCTGTAGAAATGTAAATCTCATTATATATATATATATATATATATATATATATATATATATATGAGAAAAACATTTCTCAAGCAGCTTGAGATAAGTTTATCTCCGGCTATCCCAAAATTACGTCATTTTATTTATTTATTTTCTTATATTGACTGATTCACCTTTGAATGGTTGTGATTCCCTTTCTCTCTCTTCCTTTATCACTATTGATCAATCTTTGTACGGTTATGATTTAGTAGTCGGAGATAAAATTATCTCAAGCAGCTTGAAAAACGATAAGCCCTATATATATAGGGAAAAATATTTCTCAAGCTGCTTGAGATAAGTTTATCTCCGGCCATCCCAAAACTACGTCGTTTTGTTTATTTATTTTCTTTTATTAATTGATTCATCTTTGAATGGTTATAATTTTCTTTTTCTCTCTCTTCCTCTATCACCATTGATCCATCTTTGTACTGCCATGATTTAGTAGTCGGAGATAACTTTATCTCCGGCAGCTTGAGAAATGATAAGCCCTATATATATACATATATATATTTATAAATTTTTGTTTACAAACTATCCTATGTATTTTCGGAAGTACACTAGGTTACATTATGTATTTTTCCGGGAGTACATAGTGTAATTTATAAAAATTTGTAAACAGATTATTTTATATATATATATATATATATATATATAGAGGATCATTTATATCATACTAAGAATACTGTGATGAAATTTATATTTTTTCAAGGTACCTTTTCTGCAAGAGTCACCTCTCATGCTTCTGTACATCTGGTTTCGGAAAAGAGAGAAACACACCAAAATAAGAGACTTGTGAGCATAAAGGAATTTTGACCTAATAGAGTAATTAAATATGATTTTGTAAGCAGATTAAAAGCAACCTGCAGATGGCTCTTGACGTGTGAAATTGTTAGCCCTTTAACATCCATCAACTGAAGAACAAGCTTAGGAGTAGCCTCTAAAAAAAACAAAATACAGAAATAATGGAAAATCTTTAGAAAATCATCAGAGTAAAATAAAATCAATGCATAGTATAATGTACTTACTGTGATGACCTCCAAGAGTGTCAATGGCATAAACAAAGCAACGATGCAGTTCAGGTGTCCATCTTAAACGAGGAACCTTCGATCTTATATACTGTCTCACTACACCTTCCCTACCCCAACTACCCATTTTTCCTTTTCTGCAACAAATAAGTGTATTCCAAAAAGATCTCCACTTTCTTCTTTCCAAACCAACAAGGTCCTCACCAAATAAGGCTATTCTTTCTCTACTTGTTCTCCTTCACTTCATATATAACAGAGAAAAGCCATGCCGTTTTGCTCCACATAAGCAAAACAGGAAAAAAAGAAAAAGAAAAAAGAAAATGGAAAAAAACAGAACATAGAATCATCATAGTGTGAGGGGAAAATATCGAGAGAAAAGGACAAGACCAAAGGGAAGTCTGTAAATTCCTTAACATGTCACTGATAACACCTTATGGTAGGTGCTGTTGTCGCTTCGCTGCTTGTACCCTCCTCCACCTTTAGTTGCCAATGAAAAAGAAAAAAAGAAAATGAAAGAGAAAATCGCAAGAATTGAAATCTCAAAAAGCAGAAAGCATTTTCTGAGATAAAAATCACGAGGAGGCTTCTGAATTTCGATATTGTTTGCTCTGACCTTCCACGAAATGATTATGCCTAAGCCTACATGTATAAGGGTACTTTTTTTTTTAGTACATGTATAAGGATATTTTAGGACACGTTTGGTAGTGGATATTTTTCACGATTTTTGGGAAATTAATTTTTAAATTTTTAATTTTCGGATATTATCGTAAACTAAATGTTTTCGTCGTATTTCTGAAAATCAAGATTTTCGGATAAAAAAAAAATTCTCTTTTACCAAACGTCCTCTTAATGTTATCATTGACGGAAAACTATATCTAATGGACTAAGACTACACCACCATATCAAACGTAAAAGTTTGACCTTAATTTGTTTCTATTTATAGTTTCTAGTTTTTAGTACTATCTCTTTCTCAAGAAAGACAAGTAATATATGCGACAACTTCGTCATAATCACTCTGTAAGAATATGTGGATCCCATGAAAATGCTTTTTAGATTTGGTTTAATTTGTTTTCTTTTCGGACTGCTATGTTATTATCTTACCAACTATTATTAATGTACGTGAATGAGAAATCACCATATACTACTCACTTATGTTGCACCGATATCGACACGGGACACGAGATATGACACGACACGATATCCCGACACGTTAATTTTAAAAAATGTTAAATTTTGACACGTTAGGACACGTTTTGATATGATATAATATTTTTAATTTATGTAGTGTATATTATATTTAGTATTCAATAATTTAACAAAAAATTAAAGTTAAACTTATAATACTCATCAATTTTGCAAAGAAACATAATATATCCAAAATGTTTATATTAAACTCAATAAAATCGTAATCGTAATCTAACGAATCTAATAGTTGAAACTCAAAATGTAACGCAATGTAACATTTGAACCTTTTTTAAGTCTTTGCAACGAGTAGTGAAGTGTCGGGAAGTGTCGGAGTGTCAGTGAGTGTCGGAAAGTGTCAGACACGACACGTCAGGATTTTTGTAGTGTCGGCGTTTCATAGCTACTCACTATTTGTTCTGGCAAAAAGTAATTTATAACATTGAGTAAACATCTTTTTTGGTCCCTAACAAAAAATAAGGTCTCCACTTTAGTCCCTTACAAAAATAAATTAGTCAGTTAGTCTCTAACAAATTCAAAGTGGACCCATTTTAGTCCTTTTGAGGGACTAATATGGGTCTTTTTTGAATTTGTGAGGGACCTCAATTTCAACTAAATGGGTCCACTTTGAATTTGTTAGGGACTAACTGACTAATTTATTTTTGTAAGGGACTAAAGTGGGGACCGCGTTTTTTGTCAGGGACCAAAAAGGGTATTTACCAATGTTGTTAAAACCGGCCCGGTCATTGATTTGGTTGAGGTACTAGGTCATTGGGTCACTGGTTCAACCAGTGGGTCACTGGTTCAACCGCATAACCCGATAATTATATGCAATTTTATAATTTATATTAAAAAAGTATAAACATACTCAAATATCTAAAAGAAATGATAAAAATTTCAAACATTTTAATATAAAAAATAATAAATCACATATTATTATCCAATAAAAAATCAAACAAAAATATAATGATCGTGATACGGGGCTTTAGGTTCAGAAAATGACATCTCTAACTACAAATCAAGGGAAAAGTGTTTGTCATTTTAAATGACAGAAAGTTATGTCATTTTAAGAGAGATACAGACACAGAAAATTTGAATTTTAAATTAAAAAAATCACCCACTTTCTCTCTCCCATTATTTCTGTTTTTCTGTGTCTATCTCTCTCCTAAAATGACATAACTTATGTCATTTAAAATGACAAACACCAAACTCATAAATCAAATCAAAATTTTCTGCATAGTGCATAATTGAGATAATATTAGTGTTGTAGGTACATAACTTAATAAAGTCAATAAGCAAAAAAATATTCAAATATGTCCATTATGATTTTTTTTTGAAAAAATAAATTGGATTTTTTTTTGGGACCGAGCCGGGTCACCGGTTAACCGACCGGGTCACCGGTTTTCATGAAAACCGGCCGAGTCGGACCGGGTCGCACCGGTTCTAATGCATGAGCGATCCGTTGCTTCAACCGGACCTGTTATATGACCGATTTACTGGTTCCCGAGTCGACCCGGCAGGGTCGGTTCGGGTTTATTAACACCGGTATTTACTCTATAACATTATTTTACGCGTTTTTCTCATATCAAATCGAATATGAAAAGAACAAGGGAAAATTATGTGAACTTCATAGGTATTGGATGATTACAAGTTTTACGAAAACTAATTTATTGGGAAGGCACCTCTTCCAGATCCCACATGTTTTAGAAGGTTAGGCCCAAGACAATCCTGATTTAAAATATAAATCATATATATGGGCCTTATCCAACTAGGAAAGTTGTGTCCTACCCAAACAATATCACCCCATGGGAATCCTATCTATTTATAGAGGGTTACACTTTATTAATATACATTTATGAAATTATAATTTCATATTATTACTCATAAGAGGTGTTTGTTAGAAAAGAAATTTTTTATTTCTTGAAAATCATGACTCTTGAGAATATGTTGTGAAAGTAAATTTTCCAGTAATATTACTAAAAAACTGTTTGATAGACTAAAATATTTCTAGAAATGTTAGCTCAAGTTTCTTGATCTATGCTTGGTTGAATGTCAATGATTCTTGGGATGTGGGATGATTTTACAAAACTAACCTTTGATGAATTGTTGTCAGAATCGGACGATCATGGCATTGGGGTCATTGCAGCGAAGCGACATGAAACTGAGAGGAACTTAGTAAAGGCATCGTGAAAAGGAAAAGAGGGATCCACGATTTTGTGAAGCAGAGTATTACAGCAAGGGCTTTAACAAGAGAGGATATTTTAGTCATGAAAATATTAAAGCATGATTATTTATGTCCTATAAGTTATATAAAATTTTTCCACTAGGTGAGAATCCAAGAATACCACCTACCTTATGATATTATTTCATGGGATTCTTATTCACAATTTCAATTTCTAGGAAAATTTTATGAATCTTTGTACTTAGGGGTGCTAAACGAGTCAGGGGCCTTTGGCTCGACTCGTGAAGGCCTGAGTTTACATGTCTAAAATTGATTGTTGGACCCAGGCTTGGACTTGTATAAAAGCTCGTTTAATAAAAAGGCCACATGCTCCAATTCAAAAGCTCGGCCTTAGAGCCTCTCAGGCTTGCCTAATATATTATTTTTTATTTTTTATACTACTTGTGATAACTCTCTCTCTTCTCAATTCATTTCATCCCATTTTATTAATTAAACATACTTTTTGAATGATTTTATTTTATATTATGCTATTTGGATATTCATTAAATTTATGAATATTTATGGAATTACTAGTGCTGTTGATTGTATATTTTATTTGGATAAATTTTTGTTGTCTTATTTTTTTAAAACAGGCTAACAGGCTAAACCAGACTTTTGTTTTTTGTAAATGAGCAAGGCCACATGCTGATATTATATTCGTAACAGGTAACAGGCTAAGGCCAGTCTAACACATTTGAACACAGGCTCAGCCCGTTAAGATCAAAGTTCGGCTTGGCTCGGCTCGTTAACACCCCTATTTGTACTAAACGTGAGTAATTAGGATTTTCAATGTAAATTTTTTGGAAATCTAAAATTTATCTCTTTACCAAACGGCCCGTTACTAAAATTTAGAGTCATCTCCTTGTAAAATCTTGTGTCACTAAATGCAATATTAACAATCATCCCTCTCTGATGCAACAACACCATTTTACAAATAAAATTAGATAAATTTGTATCCTAAAGTGGCTAACGACTCAAAATGCCGCATGCATTTCTGTCTAGACATTTCGGTTAAGTCCTATGAAATACCTTTCTTGTCAAGAAAAGTAAAAACAAAAAACAAGAAAAGTGAAACATATGCAAAGATTTAGAATTTAGGAACTGATTATAGGGATATATTTTTCTCCAATTATAAGAGAAAAAAATATATCCCCGGCAGATATAAAAACAGGTGTAGGACTCACGGGAAAGATGAAAGAGAAAAAATACAAGTTGGTCCACTAGCTAAGGTATGACTTTTCCCGAGAAAGTTGAAAATCGAAGGCTGTGATTGTTTGGAAGGGAACAACTGCGCGTCAACGTGATGATAAAAGGAATTCCCGTGTGGAATTTTAGTTAAGTATTGTCCATCCACCATATATCCTATGAAAATCAATTAATCATACTGTAACAATTAAGTAGCGTTATTATCAATCAATTTTATCGTTAAATTGATTATGTTGATCTAATGGTTATATTTATTTTTATCTTTGTATGATTATAATTCCTCATATTTAATACTTTATATTTATTTTCATCTTTGTATGATTATGATTTTTCATATTTAATGTTTTTACTTTAATTATAGAAAATCATAACCATACATTTATGGAAATCAATATAACCGTTAGATCAATATAATCGATCTAATAATGAAAGTAATTGATAATAATATTAGTAATAACACTACTTAGTTGTTACAATATCCTTCCCCTTAATCATATTCCTTTATTATTTTTTACTTA